TGGATTAGAGCGATAGAGGAAAGAGAAAGGGAAGAGCAAAGACGAGCGCTTAAAAAGAAGGATAGGCAAGGTCAGACCCTCAGATGTGCGAGGATTCTCCAACGATACAGACGTGTACGTGTGCTGATCTTTGTAATTATAAATTGTGAATACATGTGACTAATATTATTTTCTTTTTTATTTTGTGCATGTTACAAGTTATAAATAAATATAAACAAACAACACTAACTCGATAACATTAAATCTAAATACCAAAATGATTAATTTGCTGTGTTTTTGTTATTTATTACTCCTGTTTTTAGGTATTCGGCCGAATAGTGATTAAATATTTGGTATTCGGCCGAATAGTGAAAAATAGGCCGAATACCGAATAGTAACCGAATATTCGTTACATCACTAGTAAAAATGGCTAAAAAGTGCACAAAATATGTACAGAAATACGGTATTACAGCACCACCTGTATTGGACGACCACCTGTCTAAAAGACCATTTTTTGAAGGAACCGTGGGTGGTCACCATAGACAGGTTTTACTACACATCGACCCCCCATAACACTGTTGATAATTCCATTTTATATGAATTCCATGTTGTATGAGGCACTTAGATTTTACAAATACATGTGCAGGGCTGTGAACGGCTCACGTATTTGTAAAATTTAAATGCCTCGTACAACATGGAATTGATATAAAATGGAATTATCAACAGTGTTATGGGGGGGTCGACTGTACTTCACTTCTTCAGATTTTTCATTTATAATTAACTTAGTAACAACTCAATTATTAAACAAAGGTTTAATATTTCACCAAACTGGCTTATTAGCTATTAATTTATCAGACTATTCTAATGATTAATTATTATTTAGATTGATTATATCACCATTTAATGATACATAAGATGATCAAATAATTTAGAATAATTTATATTAATTTAGATAAATAATAATTAATAATTTAGAAAAATAAGTGCTATATAAAATTCCAACCTACAATCTTTAATCAATATATGAAAATACTGTCAATTACATTATCTAAATATTCCATTCTAGAATTTTTTGGAGAGATTTTAATTTTAGGTAAGTACATAATCTAAATCAAATAAATAGCTAATATACTTCATTTCTTCAGATGCTACAAATTAAAGTTTTATTTAAATAATAATAATAAATATGTTCATATTTATTATTATTTAAATAAAAACCTCACTTTTAATAAATGATATTTTTAATAAACATTTTAATATTTCAAAATAGCAACTTCAAGAAAACAACAAACAAACCCATGTTTATCATTTTCCTGATAACATTCCCAATAGATAACATCTTTCAAATGTTGAGAAATGTTTAAAAATAACATTTTTTAAATTCTAATTTAAACTATTATTTATTTAGTTTATTTAAAATATAAACCAAAAGTAAAATTTTGTTTTACCTTGCTAAAATTTAAAGTTATATTAATTAATTGTTATTATACATTATTTTATTTTATTTTTAAATAGAATAAAAATAAATGCTTACTGCTCCTCAAACAATTCCTAGTAATTTATTGACCTCAAATAAATTAACTGATCTCTCAAGAGACACTAGTTTTCATACTGGAAATTCCTGATCTAGATGATTTGTTGACTCTTAAAGTAAAATTTTGTTTGCTCATTCTAAAAAAGTTTGGTTTTTCCTTAAATGTGTATGCATCATTTTTCTTAAGATTTAAAACTTTAATTCTCTCTTTAAAATACAATGTTTTCTTCAATAACATTTTTATTTATTTTTCAACAAATATAAAAATAAGTGTATCAAGGTTAAATTTAGAAAATAAATGTTTATTGTATGTATACTATTGGTAGGTAGTTGCATATACCAATAAATCAGTAAGAAATTCATATTGATCATCATTATAATAAAACTAAAATTTTTATGGAACAATTGGAATGTATAAATATTTCTATAATTTAAATTCAATTTCAGTCATTTTAATTACATTATTATTTAAAAATTAACAAAAACAAAATTACAAAATTATTATCAATACATTGTCAAATAAAAAAACTAAACTGAATAACATAAAGGTCATGACCTTTATGAATATTATTCCGTTTAGTTTTCATATGTGATTATATATAATCAAGTTTAAAAAAGAACTAACCAACCTTCAGTTTGTGGTTTATAATACAATGGTGGTAAAGATGCTATTGCTGTAGCACCAATCTTTTCTGCATGCCTTGCCTTAAAGGAAATAATATTATGTAAAGAAACATATAATTTATTCAAATAAAAAAAAAATGCTATTGACTTCAAGGTAATAATTAGGACCAATTTTACATTAATAATAATAAAAAGCATACCATAATATGCAAGTGAAAAATTTAAATAAATACTAACAACATATACATTATAAAGCTAAAAAATTTCATATTCAACAAATTTACTGTATACAGCAAAATTCTTAATTAAGAAAAAAATTTTCTGAATAATCTATATTTTTTGGCAAGGATAAAATTTACTAATAATGAAATTTAATTATATTTTCATAACTGAAATATCAATAATGTTTGTTAAATAATATTTGCATTCACACACTTTTTAATTCATAATAATCAATATCTCAATTAAGTATCTCAAATATGATACTCCAAAACACATTTTTAATATATTTGTTATTCTAGTTTTATTCAGAATCATCATAAAACTTGTATCATATACGATAAGCATAAGCAAAATGTCTAAGTTGTAGAGAATGTAAAAATTTCTCATGAGAACTTTTCATTTCTTATAGGCTATTTTCATTGTATTTAGTTATATTAATTTGCTTGATTTTTTTCTGAAGAATAATCTGGAATTTATTGAATGCAATTCACACTGCAATTTTCAATTCTGAGATTAAAATCAAATCATTTGTCTACAAAAGAGTATTACCAATAAACATCTCCAATGTTTTTGCTTGCTGATAATTCTGCTGTCTTCATAAATTTAATCTATATATTATGAACAACAGAGAAAAAAGCTTGAATCTGATTTAACTGACATTTTTCAAATTTTCCACTTCTCTCTACACTGGTCACTCAAATTGTTTTCAATCTACATTGCTATATAATTTAATTTATATAAACTTTTTTAATGTAAGTTAAACTAGGATAATAGCCTGTAGTCATAAATGACAACAATATTTTTGCATCATTCACATTTACCAGTCATGTAGTTTGGCATATTATCTTGGTTAATTATATTAATTACACTTATCTTTTTTCATAACAACATAAGGGTAAAAACAAAAGTCTTTCCCTGGCCAATTATTTCTAAAATTAATAAGGCAATCAATGTAGACGTTTTGCTAATGCATACTATGTCATGCATGCACTAAATGAATAAATTTCCATTCCTAGCCCTTCTATTGGAGAAGACTGTTGTAATTTCAAAGTTATATCACACAAAAAATACAAACTACTATTTTTATGTACATTCTGAAATATCAAGTAAAATCTCAAATATGACAAGAAAATCCTTCATTGCACAACACACAAGGAGCTCCTGTGCATCACTTCATAACACAAATACAATGCAGGAATTGTTGAAAATGTGGTTAGGCTTAGGTTAGCAGTGATATGGTTATTAGGTTAGTGCTGTTTTATTTAACAATGTGTGGTATTTCCTATTAAAATGGATAATTTACATATCCATATCACCATTATTAAGTGCTATCCTGCATTGCATTTGTGATATGCAGTAATGAACTACTACTCCCTTGTGTGTTTTGTAGTGATGCATTTACCTGTTATATTTGAGAGCCTGTTCTTAGATTCATTTGATATTTTCTGCAGAATGAAATATTCTACTTCTTTTGTTCTGCTGAAAAAGTTTGAAAATAAATGATTCTCCTAGTAACAAACAAAGAAACTAAAGCCACAGTTGCCCGAAATTAGAAGATCCTACAGAAGCGGAGAAAATAAATCCTTTGGATAAGAAAATAAATAAGAATGTGAATGACGACTTTGATATCATTCAAAATAACATTGGAAAATTGGATGGAGACAGCATTCTTGGAGAACAAGCACTCTACCCCAAAGAAAGAGCTCAATGAAGAAGATACCGGAGAAGATTGAAAAAACAGGGAAAGACAAAATGCACAAAAGGAAGCTTTCGAGACTCATGAAAGAATATTTAATAATTTAAAATTGTACATATTAATAATCAGTCCATTACAGATGGCCAGACATACAAGGGTTCACATGGATGAAAACTGAAAAACAAAGACTGACTGATTTATATGTAACTTTGTTGTCTTTCAGGGCTTTTATAATTAATTATAGTATTAATTAAAATCTTTTTCTTACATAAGTCAAATTGTTTATCACTTTTGAAACTATTTCCATATTTTCCATTCTAATTTCATTAGTCTATTAAAAATATACAAAATTTAAACATGAATATTTTAAATGTTTGTTATGTCTCCTATTGACTATCAAGAAATATCAAGAATTCAAACAGAATATAATAAATCATTTAGCAAATCAAGAATTTTGCATCTAAACTGTATAATAAGAACATTTTTAAGCAGAGTTCTTTAATAAATATTTTCTAAGATAAAAATATGTTTCTATCTTAGAAAATATTTCTTAAAGATTTGGGAAAATTTCTATGTTAAATTCAATTCTTCAATATAATCATAACTGAATGAAACTGTTTACAGTTAATATTTTTGATAAACCTACTCTTTAAAAAAAATTGCACAAATACCTAGGGGCAAAATTTTTTTAAATTAACTTTATATCTTAGAAATGCCGTATGATTATTTAAGTATTAAGTGAATCTAAAAATTTGTACATAAAACTGTACAGAATGATCAAATAGAATCACTGTAACAGAAATTCATAAATTTAAACTGTTTTAAAATTCAGGAAGTCAAAGTCAATCTATTTATATTTCAGATAATATACATATATAGTATGATTTACAGTTGCTTAAATACAGGTAGTTAATTTTTGACTAATTATTTTTTCGATTTTACTTATACATTAATATTGCTAATTATTTGCAAACATAATAAACTAATTACAAAATTAGTTTTTTTATTTAATAATGAAATTTCATTGAAAAATTCAATGTTTTTGAAATTATATAGGTATTGTATATTTTAAATTTTATGATCAAAAAGCTTCCATATAAATTTGATTTCTTAAACAATGGCTTGTTTTAACATGATTAAAACAAACACGCACATTAATTTAAAATAAACTCAACAAGCCATCCAGCAAAATAATATCCATAATGTAAGTCTAAAAAATTGTAAAAATGTTTTCAACTATACTGAGTAGTCATCATCAGGTATTCAATGGTCTAAAAATAGAACTAACATTCTAAATTTGAGAAGTTCCAACATTGAATATAGATTTGATGGAAGGATGCACATCTATGATATTAAATAACAATGATAAAATAACTATACAATTTCAAAAAATGCATTTGCACGTTGAATTCCTTAAAATCAATAAATTTATTTCTGCGGGCCCTATAAATTTCTAATTTTTGCAGTGCTTTAATTTATGTTTTATCATGTACTTGACGAATTAAGCATGTGTCATTAAATTGTACCTAGAGAAGTATTTATTGAGCCTACAGAAGAAGTACTGTATATCAATTAATTTTAAAGACTGCAGCACACTTGCAAATGCAGGGAAATCATTTTCTGAAGTCATATAGTTATTTCACCATCATTATTTGATGAAATAAATGCCTTCCAATCAAACCCACGTTCAATGCTGAAACTTCAAAATTAGGATATTGGTTCTATTTTTAGAAGACTGAGTACATGATGATGGCTACTCAGCATAATTGAATACATTTGTACATTTTTTAAACTTATATTATGGATATTATTTTGCGGAATTGCTTGGTGAGTTGAGTTTAATTTATATATATCCAGTGAGTAATCACATAATATATTAATTTTTTTACACTCTTCCCATCAACTGAATATTAAGAGGGAATTTCATTTATATCAAACTTCTTATAAAAATTGGTTTAAATTTGATCACATCCTAATGGAATGAGTGGATGTTATAAAATGTGGCCAGATTAATTTTCAGGATCCAACTTAGATTCAAATCCTCAGAGCAATTGATGAATATTTTTGACAATTAAATTCATATTTACAATTGAAAAAATCCAGCAACAAGTTGCTTAACTTTCCTGATTGTTGAGAAATTTTATTTAAAAAGTAACTTTGATATTATTAATCATATTAATAGTGTGTCATGCCATCTGTTATGAAATTTTAATGTAAAAATTTTTATTTTATTATATAAAATGTCAAAACAATAAATTTTGAAGGTAGAGATGAGTTTTATAAAAAAAAAATCTATGTATTGTTTCATGAAATATTTTTTAACAGTAAAATTTTTCATGAAAAACATTTGATTCTAAAAATTCTAGTTTCATCATTATCTAAAGGTATTAAAATTAAATACTTTTGAATATTTATAAAATAACAGCAGAAAAATAATATCTGCATATAAGTTACGTAAAACAATACTTATTATTATTTAATGCAGCACAATAACATATAAAAATAATAAACTGCACATTAAAGATTAATTGATTAAAGTAGTGCAGAAAAAAAATAAATAAAATTACATATATAAAGTAATTCTACTCTTCAATAGTTCTCTTTTTAATTATAATATTAATGCTAATTAAAATACTTACCCGTCTGATCTGAATGGAGTAAATGGTGCAGCTATTAAACCTTTGGCCGAATTGATCTGATCAAAAAATAATTAATTTTTATTATTTTTCTACACACATACAAATCCATTGTAATACTAGTAGTTACAAAATGCTGAGTTTTTAGAAATCAGAGACTTTTTATACTAGATCTTTTAAGGTATTTCATCTCATCTTCAGATTCTCACCACAATTCACCAATTATTTATTCAAATTGTATTTACAATGATCTGAAGAAAAGATGAAATATTTAAAAAAGCATCCAATACAGTGTAGAAATCTCTGGATTCATAAAAATTTAGCATTGCATTATTAATTGTATTAAGGTATAAATTTTTATTTTTATATATAGAGAAAATATATTTTTATTGAACATTTTTTATGTAGAGGTATCCCCTGTATAACATGGTTTCATTCTAACATAGTTCAAGAACATTCCCAGACAAAATGCCACAATTTTTAAGCACAAATCTTGTCATTCTATATTTTTTTCATTCAAGCAAGCATGCATGTTGTCTCATATTTGCCCATGGATTTTAAAATACTAAAAATTTCAATGTTATTTTATGCCTTTCTCCAAGGTTTCTTTAATNATTTAAAATTATTAAAAGATGCTTATATTCTTACCAATTCTTGAGAATCTCTAATATTACTTGTACCAATCTGAATAATGATAACATCAAATCTAGAATCGAAAACATAAAAGTCCAATTACATAATTACCTAAGTTTATAACTTTTCATTTCAGTTTTCATTATTCATATATTATTCTGAAAGCCAAAATTCACTTAGGCCTATTAGAAAACCCAAATATTACTTACACATCTTTACCAACTGCCACCCATTTTTCTGCAATTTGCTTGCGTTCAGATACTGTTAACGACACGCCCTCACCTGTTGTGCCATTGACTAAGAATAAAAAAAGTATTCTGTAAGTTATGAATGAATTTTTTTTTATTACATGATTAAGATATCATAGTTTAAAGAAAATAGTAATAGATAATGCAAATGCTTTTGACTTACCAAAAACACCTCGTACATTATTTTTTGTAAGAAATTCTACATAATGAGGAATCAACTCTAAGTTAACATTACTGAAAATTAAACAAAATGATTTATTAGAACTAGTATAAAATGGATAGTATATTCTAATTTGAAACACATGTTGAGAAATTAAAGATAATTTTGTGACACAAAATATATTTTTTCATTTACTTTAATCATTTATAGTTATATCAAAAACAAAATATTTATATGAATTTGATGTAAGACGTAAAAATTTTAGGAATATGTCTTTATTAAGTTGAACTTTTGCACATTCTAAAAATATTCTGTTTTTTTTTTTTCCATTAAAATATTTTCAAAAATTATGTTTAACAAAAGTGTCTGTTAAGGATTACTAAACTTGACATATATCTAAGACAAGTTTGTAAATGATTACAGTTGTGGTCTAATTGCATGCAAAGTAATGCTGCCAGACTGCCCCAGTATCCTAAGGCTCAATGTACTGCACTGTCTTCAGAATTTTCAGGATACCTGTTGTTTGAATATCTTCAAATGCAAATCATATATATCTATATGATGCAATCAAAGACATTATGCATAGCTGATGAAGTGTGAAAAAAGCTGCATCATCAAGAAAAGTAGGATAGCCATATACAGTGGGTGATCAGTTAACGAACATAATCCTTTCCAAGACTTTGTTCGCTATCCGAATTGTTCGTTAACCGATTATCGATTTACCATAGGTTTCTATGGAAATTTGATTAATTGGTTCTGGAGACCCCCCAAAATAAAAAAATATATACTTTCTTACTACCTTTATTTATATGTATTGATGATAATAAAAATACATACATACATAGTCTTGCGTTTTTATTAGTCGTGTTTTTTTTCTGTTTGAAAGGGTTAAAGAATCTGTCTAATGTCGATTGCTTTTCTCTCTTCTTCAGGATTTTTCGTAAGTAATTAATAGCATTGCAATTGCAGAAATCCCGAAGCCTTAACCTGGTTTGGATGCCATTCTAAGACCGTTGTTCTGACATCCTCCTAATTCTTCAAAGGATCTTTAATATAAGATATCGGCATTAATCCTCTTTTTCAGAAGAAAACATATCTCGCTGAGTTTCTTGGTGTTCTTCATTCAAGAGTTCTTGGCGTTCTTCTGTCGTCAGATCCGTTTCAGGTTCCATAATCAGCTCTTCGATATTCTTTATTTCTCAGATGTGATTTTTGTTACTCCTTTAGCTGCTTGAGTTTTCTTGATTATACAGTATGTTTCTGAAATAAGATTGAACTTCAGCCTACTGTAGACCTGTTTACGCCATACTGCCCAGCAACATTAGGCATCTTCTGCCCACTCTCTACCTTTGCTATTATACTCTCACCTTTCAAAAAGAAAAACAGACGCAAAACTTAACGAGTGCCTACCTGACAGTCTCACGAATACATAAAATAATTGTTTTGTCAGAAAAATAAAAGGCTGAAATTACAAGGAAGAGTTTCAAAGTTCGGAGGAATAATATCCGATCGGTATATATCGGCTTGAGCGTCGATGTCGACGTCTCCCACACTCCGAAAAGTTTCAAATTGTTGCCCGAAGACAAGGGAAGACCAATCAATATTCATTAATTTACATCACTTCTTCTTGTGTTTGTTCTGTGGGGTGTTCGTTATCCGATCATGTGTTCGTTGTCCGAACATAAAAATCTTTCGCGAAAGTGTTCGTTATCCGATTTGTTCGTTATGCGATCTGTTCGTTAACCGATCACCCACTGTATTACCAAACTGTCCACCATCTGGATTGTTCTGACCCAACTGTGAAGTGGTGTTGGAGGCAGTGAATAAATTGGGCATACATACACAGCAGGAAAACTCTGGATGTCCCAGTGTCTATCTGTGACTGTCTTGTCAGGAGACAAGTGCAACTTTGTCCAACATTCAGAGACAGGTAAAGTCTCACTACAGAACCTGTCTCTTCCTATACCACTGGCAGGTCACTAGCAAAGGCAAATTTGCATGTTCTATCTGATCTCCAGATTTGTTGCCCACAAGCAACAAATCTGGAGTGCCAGTGCCGGGCTGTGAGTGGCTCATCTTTTTAAGGATTCCTACAACGTGAAATTCTTATAAAGTGGAACGTATCTACTGCGTTATAGGGGACTGTATAGTATTTTAATTTGTGTATGATACAAAATACTTTTCCAATAGAGGATGCAGCTCTCTGATAGGTGATATGTGGCTCCTATCAAGAAAATGTTTCGCCACTCTTCATATAGTCTATTTATAAAATTTTCAACTAATTTGCCATGATTTGTTCTATAATGGTTGTATGTTATATCATAACTTCAATGTATACTAAATTCAATTAGAATTTTCAAGCTACAGTTATATTGTTTAAATAAGCAATATCTCTGTCTTGTGTAAATATTAATAACTATAAAGTTTCAATTCTTAGTTAATTGTATTGTAGAAAAATACATGAAAAATCAATTTTTCTTTCCTTTCTGACTTATGGAGGGTAGATAACTTATAATTCTAAAACATTACATCAATAATAAAATAAAAATTAAAGTTAAAAAAAAGGTAAAAGCAAATCAAATTTATAGAGAAAACACTGTATTAAATTGTTAAATCCCCTAAATGCATCCTGTTAAGTATATTAAATACTTGGATTGGATGTTACGCCAACAGTTGTGTTAATTCAATTAGAAACTTCAGACTAGGAGGCGTTAAAGAGAATTAAAAGGAATATTTTAATCTTGCAAGCACTTTCAACGTAAATATGTACGTTGTCCTCAGGCTATTCAAAATCGAAAAGGATNAAAAAAAAAAAAAAAAAAAAAAAAAAAAAAAAAAAAAAAAAAAAAAAAAAAAAAAAAAAAAAAAAAAAAAAAAAAAAAAAAATAAAAAAAAAAAAAAAAAAAAAAAAAAAAAAATGCTTGCAATATTCCTTTTAATTCTCTTTAATGCCTCCTAGTCTGAAGTTTCTAATTGAATTAACCCCTAAATGCATTTCGCCAAAAATATTAGGCTTCCTCAGTTCAATATCAGCCCTCCTCTACAGAGGGTTTTCTACAGTTTAAATTCCAACAATTTTCCATCATCTCATTTTTATTTCATTATTGATGTAATGTTTTAGAACTTATAAGTTATCTACCCTCCATAAGTCAGAAAGGAAAAAAAAAATTATTTTTTGTGTATTTTTCTACAGTACAATTAAGTAAGAATTGGATAATTAATCTGACTCCATTATTTTATTTTACTTTCTTGAAATTATTCCATTATTTTAGTTATTTTGAATATAAAGTTTCAGTTTAATATAAATTTTAGGTTCATTGAAAATCATTTAAAGACAATTTATTTCTTCTAGAATTAATAATTATAATTAGAAATTAATGAATATTTAACTAATATTTACACACAATGATGACACTGTCTATGATTTTAGTCAAATTACAATAATAATTCAACTAAATAACATTATATTTATAGCCTAAAAAATGGCAGTTGAATTTGAATTGTATTTTTAATCATAAATATCATATCAGTTTGAAGTTATGATATAAGTATTCAATAAAAAAATGTTTCTCTAATTTATCATATGTACAGTACCATACATTAAAATTTTTAAAAGTTTTCATTATAATTAAAGTTTAAATAAAATTTAACAAAGATATATTAATTGTGAAGGCTATTTCTTTTTCAACCTCCTATGGTCCATAAAACAAAGACAAGTGTAAATAACAAAATGAATTTATTACCAAAAGTTAGGTACAAACATGGTTACTATTCGACATAATCACCGTGAAGATAGAGGTATTTGTCTATCTGTAGATCAGCTTTTTCATCCCCTTTTCATAGAATGTTGCCGCCAATGACTCAAGATGGGCCCTAACGTTTTGCAGATTGTCATTAGCCTCAAACCTCTGCCTCCTAGCCACTTTTTCTGTTCAGAAAAGAGGTGGAAGTCACTCAGGGCTATACGCTGGGTGTTTAAAGGTGGTGAAGACTTCCACCCAGCTTGGAACTTTTTAATGTGTGAACACTTCCACCTGTTTCCTGAACTGAAAATGTGGCTAGGAGGGCAGAGGTTCAAGACTAATGACAATCTTCAAAACAATGTTGTTAAGGCCATCTCAAGTCACTGGCAGCAACATTCTACAAAGAGGGGATTTCAAAGCTTGTCCATAGATATGACAAATGTCTCAATCTTCATGGTGATTATGTCAAAAAGTAACCGTGTTTGTAAAAGTACCTAGCTTTTGGTAATAAATTCATTTTATTATTTACACTTGTCTTTGAATTATGGACCATCGGAGGTTGAAACAGAAACAGCCCTTGTATTTTTCAATATGTATAAAATTTCAATTTAATAATTTAAAAAAATTGAATTGTAATTATACTTTATATAAAAACCAGTTTGTTACTTTTATACCAATTGAAATTTTACTTAAATAATTTGCATCATCTGTTTGTGAAATTATATATAAAATAATAAAAAATAATGTCTCTTATAAAAAAAAAATCTATGTATTGTTTCATGAAATATTTTTTAACAGTAAAATTTTTCATGAAAAACATTTGATTCTAAAAATTCTAGTTTCATCATTATCTAAAGGTATTAAAATTAAATACTTTTGAATATTTATAAAATAACAGCAGAAAAATAATATCTGCATATAAGTTACGTAAAACAATACTTATTATTATTTAATGCAGCACAATAACATATAAAAATAATAAACTGCACATTAAAGATTAATTGATTAAAGTAGTGCAGAAAAAAAATAAATAAAATTACATATATAAAGTAATTCTACTCTTCAATAGTTCTCTTTTTAATTATAATATTAATGCTAATTAAAATACTTACCCGTCTGATCTGAATGGAGTAAATGGTGCAGCTATTAAACCTTTGGCCGAATTGATCTGATCAAAAAATAATTAATTTTTATTATTTTTCTACACACATACAAATCCATTGTAATACTAGTAGTTACAAAATGCTGAGTTTTTAGAAATCAGAGACTTTTTATACTAGATCTTTTAAGGTATTTCATCTCATCTTCAGATTCTCACCACAATTCACCAATTATTTATTCAAATTGTATTTACAATGATCTGAAGAAAAGATGAAATATTTAAAAAAGCATCCAATACAGTGTAGAAATCTCTGGATTCATAAAAATTTAGCATTGCATTATTAATTGTATTAAGGTATAAATTTTTATTTTTATATATAGAGAAAATATATTTTTATTGAACATTTTTTATGTAGAGGTATCCCCTGTATAACATGGTTTCATTCTAACATAGTTCAAGAACATTCCCAGACAAAATGCCACAATTTTTAAGCACAAATCTTGTCATTCTATATTTTTTTCATTCAAGCAAGCATGCATGTTGTCTCATATTTGCCCATGGATTTTAAAATACTAAAAATTTCAATGTTATTTTATGCCTTTCTCCAAGGTTTCTTTAATGAGAACTGATTGTACAATTTTTCTTCTTCCATCTCCTAGCTTTCGTATAAACCAGGTATCATTGTTGTTGATGATAGTGCTCTAAATGAACTCAAAAGACTGTTGCCATGTTTCGTTTTTATAGATTAAATTAAAAGTTACTACATAAAAAAAAAATTAAATTTTTACAGATCTATTAGGCAAATGCAAGCAAATGAAAATATCAAATTTTATTAAAAAAAATGTAGAGAAAAATCAAAATGTTACTAATAATTGAGATTAAGATCAATAGAAAGCTCAGACGTTAATGATTTTTTCCAAAAAGAAAACGTTCTTGTTTAATGGTGTTTAGCAGTGAAGAAAAAATTAATATTAATGTGCAATACTTTTGATTGCAATTGTTAGTTTGGGAAGAAAATTAAGAAGTGACATTGAGAACCAAAAATAGTTTTGTGCAATAGCGCTTAGTATTTCCACATTAGGATTTTTTATTGGAAGTTAGAAATTTTGGGAAATTTTTGGGATGACTTTTTTCAATAGACTAAAACAAAAGTTTGACATGATAGAACCAGCAAAATACTGTTTAAACATTGTGATCAAATGTGTTATTTGAAATTATTCATTAATTAAAAGATTATTCAAAAATGATTCCTATTGCAAGGGGATGGCCAGACTTTGAGGTCTCCGATTTAAACAAAACTTGATGAGCATGCAGCCCTAAACACAAACAGCTCATCGTCCAAATAATAGGACCCATTTTTCAAGCATTTCCAAAAATTGAGCCTCTGAAAATTTAGTGTTTAGCCTCTAAGTCTTTAAAACTTTTAAGTCCAGAATGGCAATGGCCAAATGAATAAGATGCTAGGTACTGGAACTAGATGATGTAGGTTCAAACCTTCTAAGTTTTAGTTTGGTTTAGTGTAGTTAATTTTATGTGTAACTTTATTACTTTACAGCATCATCAGCATTATTATTCCTCACATTTAAACCTTATAAAACAAAAAATTAAAAATTGTGACATCATTTTCTGTCTGGTGAAAACAATCCTCTGAAGATTGAACATTTTTATGCGGTTAAATAAAACTTTTATTACTTCACATTTATTTTCACATATTTTACAACATGCTATGTCCTCACAAGTGAATAAGATTAAGATGTTACTGCACATGGATAAAAAAGACAAGTGATATGAAAATAGGGTAACAAGTTGCAGCATTTTATTTTTTTAATTGTTAATATTATGGACAATTTCCTCATGCGCTCATGTTTGTTACACTTCAAATGTCACAATACCACCATATCTGAAAATAAATATAAAAAAATAAAAATTTTATTTAATAAAATAAGAGTTAAATGGTGGCTCATAGAGGATCATTTTCCATAAACAGGAAATGACGTCACAATTTTTTAATCTCTTGTTTTATAAGCATTAAATGTAATGATGCTAATAAGTAATAATTATATGTGGTAAAATAATAATATAATAATCTTACACAAAGAAAAAAAAGTAAACTAAAATTTTGAAGGATTGAACCTACATCAGTTAGATCTAGTGCTTAGTGTCTTATTTGCTCAGCTATCGCCATTCTTGGACATGAAATTTCCAAAGACTTATGACCTAAACACAAAATTTTCAGAAACAGATTTTTTTAGAAATGCTTGTAAAGTGGGTCCTATTATTTGGACAAGAAGCTGTTTGAGTTGTTTGTGTTTAAGGCTATGTGCTCACTAAGTTTCATTCAAATCAAAGACCTGAATGTCTGGTCCTCTCTTTATAAGTGACAGTTTAACTTGTTACTTTTGCTTTCCACATGCCAAACTGATAAAACTACCACCAGCACTTGCATTAATTAGTCAGTAAAACTGGTGGCAATAAATAATTTGAAGTGTCAAAAAAAATTTAAAACTGGCAAAATGGTGGCGATATTTTTAAAATTTCCAGAGTATAACCTATTTATGTTATAACTTATATAAAAATTATTAAGGCTGAAAAAATTTTATTCACTTTTTATATAACAAGAAGAAAGTGTATTATACATTTGGTATAAATGTAAAATAACATTTTATTAATGCTAATTAAAATACTTACCCGTCTGATCTGAATGGAGTAAATGGTGCAGCTATTAAACCTTTGGCCGAATTGATCTGATCAAAAAATAATTAATTTTTATTATTTTTCTACACACATACAAATCCATTGTAATACTAGTAGTTACAAAATGCTGAGGTTTTAGAAATCAGAGACTTTTTATACTAGATCTTTTAAGGTATTTCATCTCATCTTCAGATTCTCACCACAATTCACCAATTATTTATTCAAATTGTATTTACAATGATCTGAAGAAAAGATGAAATATTTAAAAAAGCATCCAATACAGTGTAGAAATCTCTGGATTCATAAAAATTTAGCATTGCATTATTAATTGTATTAAGGTATAAATTTTTATTTTTATATATAGAGAAAATATATTTTTATTGNTATCATTTTTTATTGTTTTTATATTTTTCAATATATTTATTTTGTTTGTACAAAATAAAAAAATAATTTTTAACGATACAATAGTCTTCGTTAGGCTTAGCATTGACGAAAATTCAACGTGAAGCGATACGCAACAGAGAAAAATTTCAAAATGGGATAGGTTAATATATTTTTTCATACATAATCGGTTATCCAAAATATCGATTTTCCGAACAACCCCAGTCCCCAATTGATTCGGATAATCGACGCTCTACTGTACATGAATATTCATATATCTCAAATGTAAATTTTAATTTAACAAATTAAGGCTCTATGGTAAAGAAATTCATTTAAAAGAAGCTACGAATGTTAAATTGTAATACAACAGATTAATTATAGACGATAAGATAGCTGCCTATAATTACATGGTGTGGCTAGAAAATAACGAGACTGTGATCACCTGCAAACAGTTGCACATGGGCCAAAGTTGGTGGGTGGGTAAACGATCTTGAACAAGTTAGAACAAGCACAGAGAGTCTCAACTTGCTACTGCTATTAGATTGCTGTGAGTGCCTGCTGCAAGTGAACATGTTGTTAGCGTGTCAGAAAAATGGCCAGCTTGAAAGAGCAGCAGCATATCAATCCTGAAAATGTTGGTGAAATTGAAAAAACTACCACTGAATCTTTGCACCTGCTATGTAAAGCATACAGAGATACATCTTTCACGTGCACATATGTTCAAATGGCACAGGAGATTTTCTGAAGGTTGAGAGGATGTGAAAGACAATAAACATTCTGGACAGCCCAGCACATCAAAAACTGTGGAAAACATATGAAAAGTGGAACAAATTGTGAACCAATACTACTACAAAGATGTTCTGGAATTTTTGAGGAAAAGGGTAAGAAAAAAGCAGGGACACTTTTGGCTAAATGGTTCATCCTCGATCAGGACAACATACCAGCTCATTCTGCTCTATCAGTGAAACAGTTTTGGCCAAAAAGGGAGTCACACTACTTGAATACCCACTGTACTTGCCTGACGTAGCTCCATGTGATTTTTACCTTTTCCCTAAAGTCAAGTCTACTCTGAAGAAACACCGTTTTGATTCAGTTTTTGCTGTGAAGAAAAAAACGATGGAGCTTCTCCATAGCCTTACAGATGATGACCTGCAGCACTGTTATGATCAGTGAAAGTCGTTAATGCAGTGCTGTCTGGAAGCAGAAGGATCATACATTGAAGGAGAACACAACTAAAGTGAGTAGCAGTACTCATTTTAGTTGATTACTCAAGTTGATCACTTTAGTTTACTACTCAAGATTTAAAATTGCAGCTTCAGTCTCATTATTTTCTAGTCACACCTTGTACAAAGGTGAAATTTTCCAGATAGATGAAGAACAATCTTTGTTATGAATATAATTTATAATGATAAACACGATAACAAATGACAAGAATAACTAATATAAAGTCCTGTATTTGGATAAAGATGATAATATGAAACTACATTTTTTATAATATTGAAAGTTTAAAAATAAATACTATTTCCCTAATTTCTGAAATTTGATGTATAAAACGGATATATTTTGTCTGGTGGAAACGTGGCCTACATCTTTGGTAATTGAATCAATGTTCTCAGATCATTGCAAAATTTATCATCAGATATATCTTAGCTGTGAGGGATCTGGCAACTTAATCGTCAGACACAAATTAGAAACATTCTCTAAGATTAAACTGATATTTCAGACAAAATTTGTACAGATTATACAACTAGATACTGAGGATTTAACCAATACCCAGCTACTAGTTTCTTATATTCCACCTGACAATAATTATGATGATGATTTCAAGAATACTTTGTTGCTTATAGAAAATTACTTGCTACATGAAACAAACTTGATTTTATGCACAGATTTTAATAAGAGGGAAAATTCTCTATCATTTTTGTGAGGTTAGCAGTCTTGTTTGTTTAAATGATTTATTGCTAAGAGATAAAGAAGGTAATTTTACTTACCACGCAACTAAGGGAAGAAGTGTAATTGATTTCATTATAGTGTCACAAAAAATATATTCTCATATTGTAAATGATTTGTGTGTTTTATCAGAGATAGGCTCTGATCAGTCACCTATTTTTCATTCAGTGATCCCTTTGATATCATCAGGAGTTCCTAATAGGCAATTTTTTGGTAAATGTACTGTATAATATAAAGGGATGAATTTAAACCTTCATTTGCTGTTAAATTGGATAATGTTTTATTAGATGAGTCTGGTGTAAATATCTAATCCAATGATTTAGTGCAGGGGTGTCTCAATGTGATTTTTTGTGGCTTGCGGCCACAATGCTCTGAAATTAAATAAAACTGCTTACAGATGAAGATTAACTGATAAACATCTATCTGCCATAATGGAGATTGTTCTCAGTCTTTGAATCCAGATATTGGAAAACTAGGAGGAGGAAGATAGGCAAGTTTCCAGTGAAAACAATTAATTTTAGTTCTATAAATATGTACATTAAATAAAATAAATGTTTAAATAAAAAAAATACTATAGCAATTATATATTATTTAGTTGAATTCACTGAACTACATAATGTATTTTAATTGCAATATCTATATTCCTACATTCTCACTTCAAATTATAATTTTAAGAAAGTTTTGTAAATGTGAGGTGGCCCATGTGAATATTACTAGTTACAATAAATGGCCTGTTGTTTAAATGAGTTTGACACACCTCATTTAGTTGAATATACAGCTAAAGTGGTAATGACTCTAGGTTTAATTTATGATGTTAAATCTGTACGTTGCAAAAGGCATACAGTGAGTGTTGCACCATGAGAAAAAAAATTTGTGAAAATTGTTTCAGAAAGTGAAAAAATTAAATGCTGATGAATGTTTTGTTTTGTACAGATATTATTTAAAAGAGTATAAACTATTATGTGAAAAGAAAAAAAATAGTATTTCTTTTGAAACTTATATAAATTGATGTCATCTAATAACAACTAAATATTTTGGCAAGTAATTAATAGCATTAAACATAAAAGTTCATTGAGTTATAGTTCAAGAATTTCCTTAAAAAAATGATTCAATTTTTATGCTGCTAAATTTGCCAAAGAACATTGTTTAATTATTAATGATGAACAATTGTCAATAGATGTCTATAAAGTGTTTCCAATAGTAACAGGATGTTTTACAGATTTTACACTGGAAGAGGTAAGAGAAAAATTAAGTGGTTTAAATCTGATAACTCATCTGAAATTGATTTTATTAGAACAGAATATTTAAAGTGTTTTTCTGAAAAATTTCTTCTTATAATAATGAAAGTTTTTAACTCTATTAGAAATTCTAGTTTTCTGAAAGCATAGATTGAATCTTTAATTATTCCAATATAAAAAAGGCAATGTACATGACTTCAAAAATTATCAGCTTATATTTTTGGATCCTATAATTGGAAAATTATTTATGTCTTTATTAAATGAAAAATTAAAAGAATGAATTTTTAAATATGATATTTTGTGTCAGAAGCAAGCAGATTTTATACCTGGCCAATCTTGTCAAGATCAAATATTTTATATTAAATACATTGTTACAATAAAAATCGTAGAAAAAGAAAGCTTTATGCTGGTTTTTGTGGCCTTCATATCTGTTTTTGATACTATTAATCATAAAGTTTTATGGTCTTTATTACAAAGAATAGACATAGATAAACAGTTTGTTGGTCTTATAATTGATATATATATACACTCCAAAACTACTTCAAGATTAATGATACTAGTCAAACAACTGATTCACTTGGTATTGATATTGGAGTTTTGCAAAGTAAGATTCTGAGCCTACTGCTTTTTAATGCCTATGTTAATGGCTTGATAGTGAAACTTGCTAAATATGACTTACTTGGGATTTTGCTCTCTGATCAAGTTGAGGCACATGTATTAATGTGTGCTGAAAACACTAATTCTCGCTGATACTTCACAAATGTTACAAAAGAAAATTACAATTCTGGAGGAATTTTCTTGTGACTACAGATTAATTATATATGTTTTAAAAACTAAGCTCATGGTTTTCAAGAAGAGATGTAGACTGTCACTCAGAAATGGTTTTTTAATAATTAGCCTTTACAAGTTGTTTTGAATTACATATACTTGGAATATTATCTTCATCTTCTGGACAATTTTTACAGGCTAAAAATTGTAGCATACATAAGGTTAAAATGGCACCAGGTTCTATGTCAACTATTCTTTCAAAAGTTAAAATTAATTCTGCTAATATCTATATAAAGTTGTTTCACTCAATGATCTCACTTTATGCTTCTCCTATATGTGCAATTACTTATTAAGATAAAATGGAAATTTTTCTTGTTTTATATCTTAAAAACATTTTAATGTTACATCATAAAATTCCAGTTTATATGTTGCATTTGGAGTTTGGTATTTCTAAAATACCAGTAATTATAATAAAAACAATAGTTTCATTTTGGATTAGACTTTTGAAATTAGATGATAAAAGTTATGTTAAAATAGAATATAACAAACTATATAAATTGTGTTCAACAATGGACAGTTATACATATACAGTAGAGCATCATTTATCTGAAAGCCGGTTATCCGAAAGCATTCCAGTTGGCAAATTTAAATTTTTGCTAGTGCTGTGGCGCTGCAATCTTTGGCTATATCTTGGGCTACTCCAATATTTTTTTATTGATGTGTGTTTTAGCTGACAGCACTGGCATTTTTGTGTGGTGTTTTTCTGAGGACTGTGTGTTGTGCTGAATCAAATGTTTTTTGATACTAGATCAACTTCTAAAGTATATATATATATATTTTTTTTGGTTTTTATATTTTTCAATATATTTATTTTGTTTGTAAAGAAATAATTTTTAATGATACAATAGTCACGATTATTATTTTAAAAAGTTTACGTTAGGCTTAACATTGATGAAAATTCAACGCGAAGCGACATGCAACGGAGAAAAATTTCAACACAAGATAATAAATAAATAATAAATCAATGGGATCGGTTATTCTAAATATTAAAATAATAAATTCTAAAAAATTTTCTTTTAAAAAATTCTTTAAGAAATGACAAGTGAAATTCACTTTTTTAAATCTGATTTCGATAGAATTAATTAATTAAAAACAGAGATGGACTAGAAACTTATTTAGTATTTCTCACTTTATTTTTTCTTTTTTTATCAATGGGATAAGTTAATATATTTTTTTGTACATAATCGATTATCCGAACAACCTCAGTCCCCAATTGATTTGGATAAACGACACTATACTGTAATTGGTCTTTGGCATTGGAAATCTGTTATTCTTTTCTATGATTGTCTCAAGATCCTTAGTTGATTGAAAGTTATCAAACATTAATTATAAGTGTGTATTGTGAATAAAGTATACAAGAAGATTGGTCTTTGTTAAAAAAGAATAAGCATTTTCAATTATATCATAGTATTAAAACAATGTTTATGTGTAAGGATTATTTGTTTATGGACATAAATTATTATGCAAAACGATTGATCCTGCAGCTGAGATGTGTACATATTTTGACATATAATAGTAAACTAACAATAGATTCTAAGAGAGTTTTGTAGTAACTGTAGTATGCAAGTTTATGAAACTTGAAAACTTGTATTTTTTTCATTATATAAAATTTGAAGCAAGCAGGAAAAAGCATTTGATGAGATTTAAGTCCTGAAAAGATATAATCAATTTATTATGTTTTTTAAAAATAGATATTATTGTGTATTTTATATTGTATTATCTTGTACTAAGCTATTATATTAATTTGTTAAATTGTACTAACTTCAGTTTTATGTTATACTTTAACACCCTTGTAATGAACTAAATTTCATATAATAAAAAATGAACTGAAAAAAATTGAAATTATAATTTCATTTCCTATAATAGTTAACTTTATCTTAAACAAGTATCAGAAAATTATAATTTCTTATAAATCTTTAGTTCTATTTCCAATATGAAAAGTTATTTTTGCATTAACGATTTTTCCTAAAACAAAAATAATTATTTTTCTCTCTTATAATGGATATTTAAATTTAGTTTTAAATAACAGAGAATAAAAAAATCTTACTTTGGCAGACCGTTCTTCCATTGCTGATTTTGCTTGAAACAATGTTCTATGCCCCTAAAAAATAAATGTCAATTATTTTTAGATAGCATACCTTTATATCTATTACTTTATACTTTAATCACATCTATAACCTATGAGAAAAGAACAAGTAAGCTAGCATCTCTTGATAATTACTTTTAGTTTTAAGATAACTGTTGTTAATAATTGCTTGAAAATTTTTAAAATATTTAATTATAATTTAATTTTCAATTATGTTACATTATTTATTAATATTTTTAATAAAAATTTATACTTTTAAAGTAAATTATTTTTATCTTAAATTAATAATTCAAACCTAGAATATTTATGATTGCTTACTAGACAAATAAAAGTTATAATCATTAAAAAGTTTTAATGAAAGTAAAGAAAAGTTTTAGAAATAACTAATATATTATTTCAGGATAACTTATTAATTATTTATAAAAACTCAAAATAATTTCAACTAGTTTCTGGATAATTTATCCTTATAAATATTTATAATTAAAAACTGATTTATTCTGTTACATTTAAATGGAATATTTGTTTTTATAAAAATCCCCAAAGGAAAAAATTTACAGAAAATTAACAGTATTGCTCAAATTTCCCTTTGGGAATTTACTTGCATGACCTTGTAAGTTTTCAACTATAATCTCTTTGTATTAGATAAATTTGATCAGATTTAAAATCTTTTGTCTGCATTTCAACTTTTAAGACTAACATGATAAGTTTTACTGATAATTATGATTTACTGACTATTTTTTAGTATTCTGTTACTCTTCTAAGATTTCACCTTTAAAACAGATAAAAAACAGACAACACAAACAGAGATTATATTTATCACAAGTTAAATATCCCTCAAAATTATATACTAATTTTGAAATTAATTTGTTATTTGATAACAATTTAAGTTTTTGACTAATATTTTACCATTCTTCTATAATAATTTCTAGCATTTTTAAGAAAAATCTTTAGCTCATTATATTTAAGAATTTCTTTAATAAAATTTAATTTCATAGCTCCTTCATTAATAAACAGAAAGAGTAAGCTGATCAAAAAGAATGTATAATACTAAGAATAAAACATAAATTGCACAATAAAAAAGTAATTTACTTATCATCAACATATTGAATAATTACTTTTGCAACATTATTTGTTTTGTTCTCATTATTAACAAATACAATTATTGTATCTAACAAACTGAACAGATCTATCACTGATTAAATGGTTATGATTCAAATCACAAATTCAAGGTTACTAAATTCTTATTTAATTTTTATGTTTTAGAAGCATTTGTTTATAAAGTTACAGAATTTCTAAGAAAAACAAACTTGTTTTTAAGCCTGTTTTAAGAATATGTTAATTGCAATTTACAACTGACTTTTAACAAATAATAACTCACATTTATTAAACCAGTTAAACATTTTTAATAACTAATGTTACAGCTAGTTATTAAAGCTTTTACTGTTTTAATAAGAAATAGATTATTATTATGTTATAAAGATTTTAGACAATTTGCTTTAAATATTTTTGTCAGTAAATAACTCATTGTCTAAAAGCTGATTACTTTTACAGTGGTTCTTTTTTTTTACTTTATCAGTGATAATATTCAATTCAAAGTTAAAACTTTATATATTTCAAATTATTATTTTTTAAGGCATGTAACAGCCATCTGTATTTTATTAGTAATATAAGGATGAAGTATGTCTTTCATAAATTACATAGTCATATAAGGATGAAATCTGTCTTTGTAAATTACAGTTTGATTTTATTTTAAAGTACTAAAGGACATTCAAAAAGTTAATTAGTTAATTAAATGTTAATCAAATAAAAAAAAATATTCATTTGAATTCTTAACATAAATACTGTATTAGGAGTTTTTAATGTAGCACAGTTAACTTGCATTAATACAAATCACTAGGAAAATGGTAGTTACTCTGCTTTATCAAAAATTTATATTAATGATTTAGGAAGTTAATGCTTAATGGTGATTGAAATCTCTAAGTTATACTATTCTCAATTGATTCACTAAATAAATTTAAATAAAATTAAAGTTTTTTACAAAGACAAATTAATGTTCTAAATGATTTTCAAATAAAAAAAAAAGTGAGGAGGAGATGGTGATATTTACCATTTAAATGTGAAGCAGTATACCAGAATGTTTAAACAAAAGAAGAAATCTGCAATTTTTTCTGTTGAAGATTGTTTGAAAAAGTAAAAAATATCTTTTGGCACCAAAAGAGTAATAAAAAAAAAATAAAAAAATAAAAAAAAATTTGGCATAAAGTAGCAAAACCTGGCACCACTGTATGCACTCTCTGATATGCAAACTAGCATGAGTTTGCATAGGACCATATTCATTTAAAAGGGTAGGCATCCTTAAACTTTAATTCCTATTTTCTGAGTACAGCAGAGTGTTCCACTAAAACCAAATGTTTGAATTGCTTTACAATCGAAGGTAAAACCCACTTCTGCTTACTAAGAGAAGAAAACCTATTCTACTCAAAATGAAACATTTATTACAGTACCACTTTTTATTATTCACTTCAAAAAGTGTAAAAAAGCGACCATTATTGAAAATAGGGTAAAATTTCTTGAGTGTTGTGGAGGTAATTTACAGTTCAGTTTAACAAATTCTAGTAAAATTTTTGTTCACTTTATCACATGAAAATTAATGTTATGACAATGGTATTTTGTCAGAGAAATGGTAAAATTCATTTTAATGCAAGAATTTGCTTTATTAATGTTTGTTTTAAGATGAGTCAGCTGTAACATATTTCTACTTCAAGTTTTTACTAGTTTTTTTTTTTTTTATTGTTTAAAAACCGATTATAAAAATAATAAAAGAAAATCTAGATGAAAATATTAAAATAAACTGATCTAGATTTGTAAAACAAGAAGAAAATATAAATAATTTCTTCTAAAATATATTTTCAATTGAAAAACAATAGCAAAATAAAATTTTAATTTATAAAATATACATTATAGCTCAATTCAACAATGTTTAATTTTATGGAATTTTAATTCTTACAATAATAATTTATATTACTGTTGTAAAAAAAGAACTTAATTTAGAAATTAAAAATACAGGACGTTTGTAAATAATGTGATTCTCAACTTAGTTAACTTTAAAATTTTAACGCGAAAATAAACGTTACACATAAAAAGAATTTTTTCATTACTTTCAGATTCTTTTTATTCTACAAAGTTATTTGCTATAAATTTCCTTCTAAATACTTAAAAACAACTCTATATTTACATAGTTTTCTTTACTAGTGAGTCTTTACTAGATCATGCATAATGATCTTTATTTTGGCATTCAAAATAGCATTTAAAATATTTTGCTTATTTTTGTTTTTTGTTGTTCAAAAGAATAATTTTGTTTGGAATATGTTTAGAAAGGAAGCTTGTTATGACTAATGTTTAATAAATTATAATTACAATTACATGAAATTTTTACTTGATCTTTATCATATGTTGACATTCTATACTTTGTAGAAAACCAAATCTTTTGAAGAGACAATAAAAATAATATACTGTACAAGTAATATGTAGATAACTTAGCATATGAACATAGATGTGTAATAGCTGATAACAGAAACAGTGGATTTATTTAATCCTTCTGTAAATAATAATTAAGCTCAGTAAAGTATAAATGTGCAAATTAATCAATAAAAATAATATTCATATAGAAACTACAATACATCTCTGGTTAGAATCATAAACAGATCATGTAGAAATTTTAAAATTATGGTTTTAACTTATAAAATGTTGGAATTTGACCATTAATGCAACTATTTATTTCAAAAAATTCTTAAATTATCAGCATCACCTAAATAATATTTTAAAAAATGTAAAGATGAATCAGATTTAACAAAAGATGAAGAAATATACCAAAAACGGATAAAAGGTGTCAGAATGTCGGTGAATTTGGTGGAAGAATTCCATCATATCCTGTTACAGACCCACTTTAGCTTAGTATTTACTCGAATGAATTTACCATAAAAGCTTCTAAAAGTACGGAAGTACACGTTTTAAGAATTAAACACTTTTATTGAATGAAAACACGCGTGACATATTTAACATTCTTTTACACATACGAGATTCTCAAGTAAAAGAGCATGGTTATTTCTGTACGGGCGCTTCGTTTAATTACAAACATACTTTTTAATAGGAAAAAAAAGCAATAAAAAAATAAACTTACTACGATTGCTTCCATACGGGTATAGGTGTAAGTGGGCAAACAGGTAATTGCACGGGATATAAACTATGCGTCGTACATGGGACTACGGTAGTTCCGCACACGACCATTTTGATCTGTGAAGTTTAAGTAATATTATAGAATTTTAAGGTGCATTAAATTCCGAATAACGCAGACCTACCTTATGCCGTTGTCACACCTGTAAGTACTTTTCCACTTCTGTTTTTCTATGGAGACTTACTATAGTCTACCTGAACTCACCTTGTAAGCGATTGGCTGTTGATCAGTGTCGAGTGTAACCATCTTGTAACTGATACGATGGACAATACACGTGACTAACGGACCGTGTTTCTTTGCGTAACAAAAGTTTTTTAAACACGAATGAATGACAACCTTCACTAGTTTTTTTATTTTTCTTTTCTTTTTTTTTCTTTAGTTTATTACTCGTTGCCTTACTTATACGAGCCGTACTTCATTTCAAAATTGATTTAAATTTAAAATGGGTCTCTAAAATTCCTTACATTAAAAAATACATAAATTTTAGAATTTCCTAGTTTTATTGCGAATTTTTTAAACTATGTTTTACCCAATTATCAAAACATTTAAAAGAAAAAAAAATTCATATAAAGTGAGTTTTAATCATCCGTAAATGTATAACGAGTATGGCTTGCAAAAGAGTAACTCTCATTATATACTTTTTTTTAAATAAAAAATAATATATATGTGGGATTATTAAATTTATGCTTAAAAAGTGAAAGTGATCCATGCATAAAATTTATTTGAACAGCTACGTAGTTTTTTTTTTATTTTTTGAATGGATAAAAGATATTTTGAATCGCGCTGTAACATTTCTCTATACATCTCGTGTCAAAATGATTGAAGAAGTTACCTGTTTTGAAAAAAATAAGAATAAAAAATTAAAATAACGAGTATCAAAAGTTAAATGATTCTATTTTATTGAAAAATGCGGAAATATACTGATAAATAGATCTTTTATTAATTTTTTTTTTAATGTTCGTTAAAATAAAAGATTTTTGTCTGTCCTATTACATTTCTTTCTAGAATTTAATAAAGAATTTGAAAAAATTTAAAAGTAAAAAGACTCAAGATGCTGACTAAACAGATTTTAAGGGTATACTTACATCGCAGCAGAAACGCACTTTAGCTGAATCTACAAAGTTGTGCCAAGGTCCGATTGGTCGTCCTGAACTCGGCCAAAGTGACCACAAATGCGGTAGATATTGCGAAAATAAATTATGGAATTCTGTAGTCCATACTTGTTCCATTCCACTATAAAACAAATGATCCAAAGATTAAAATGCATGCTGCATCTATATAACTGAAAGAAATTAAAATTGTTACCGTTAAAATGCGCAGGATCTTTAAGAAGATTCATAATTTCTATTAAATCTCGCTTATAGTCGAGTTGTGAGATGTATTTTCGCTTTTAGTCTATCTCCCCATAATAGTAATATTATATTTAATGTTAATTTTAAATGTTATAAGCAAATGGCTGGGGCTATAATTAATCTAATAATGAGACTATTTTCTGATGTATTTATTAGATAATTTGTTCCATTTTAATGTTGAAAAATTATTTTTTAATGATTTATTTTCTATGAAACTGATCGAAGATTACGCACTTAATTTCTTCTTATACAAACTCATTGTTTTTAACATTAGATAATAAAAATTTAACTAAAAATTTACACAATAATCAGTAAGCAAATTTTAAAAAATCAAGTTTCATCTTTACTTATTTTTTTAAAAACTATTTCGCCATGTTTTATGGATAAATCCGTGAGTCTGTAGAAAAATAAACATGAAGCAA